ATAAATCGTATTTTGCACTAAAACCGATTTTTCATATTTTGATTTGGTGGGAATTTGATTTTCTAGTATTTTTATTTGAATCCAAATGGGGGGTACTTCCTTATTTACATTGTAAACTTAAGTAAATGGAGTAATATAAAAATAAATAAAAGTAAAATGACAAAGACATTTACTTAAATGTTAAAAGTGGAAATAAGGTAATTTGTACATAGCTACTGACTGGGCTAATATTGAAAATAAGTTAAATATATAAGTTTTATATATTTTTTTTCTTAAAAAACCACACTAGGCTACAGCCCACTGCAGCCCTTAGTGTGGTTCCGCCAATGGACACGTGACACTCGTGCGGGGTTAAAATATTTTTCTTTTTCTGCCGAGGTGTTATGTATATTTTTTTATTTTTTTTTCGGTTACAAGAAGGGCCGAAGCCCAAGAAAGAGACCAAAAAGAGAACTACACTGGGACAAGCCTAGCAGTGGTCATTCTAACAGAGTCATTTGCCAAGAGGCTTACAATAGAAGGAGGGGGAAGATCAACAACATGATAACCCAAATTGGAGCTTTGACCAATATGAGCCATATGGTCAGCAGCAATGTTTTGCTCTCTATAAATATGAGAAATGGAACACTCCCAGTCACGCAACAGCATGTCTTTGCAACTGTGGATGAGGCTAGAGAGAGGGTGACTAGGCCTAGTCTCTCCATTAATTAAGGAAACAGCAGTAACAGAGTCACTCTCCACTTTAATTCTTCGAATACCTTCATTCCACGTAAGAGATAAGCCTCTGAAAATACCCCATAATTCAGCTTCAAGGATTTTACCACACCCCAAATTTGTGACGAAGCCCTTAATCCAGCCACCCGTAGAATCCCTTATGATGCCACCAGCACTAATAGATCCCAGCTCACCCATACAGCTACCATCCACATTAATTTTAAAACAGCCAGCACTAGGCGGAGACCAATGTAACTTGAGAATTTGTTTGGGGGCCTTAGAATTCCTGGAGCAATTAGCCACTCCCTAGTAAACTGGATGATTGGAATTTGGGGCCAAGGAGGAGGAGTAAAGGTGTCATCAAAAACTTTCTTACATCGCCATTTCCAACAAAACCACAGGGAGGCCAAGAAAAGAGAGGACCAAGGGATACCTTGCATGCAGCTGAAACTAGCCTTAATATTGATGAGAAGCCAGTCCTTGAAATCCATAGAGAAAGAGTGAGCAATTTGATTAGGAATACTAATGGCATTCCACATTCTAGCCGCATGACTACACCTGCGAAAAAGATGGTCCAAAGACTCCATGGAAACGTTGCAACAAGGGCAATTAGGATTAGAAGCAAGGTTCCTTCTAACACGTTGGACATTAGTTAGGAGCTTACCATGAAACAGCAGCCAAACAAAGGTTTTTATTTTGGGAGGGACATGCAGCTTCCAGATAATATCCCAATTCCAAGTATGATTAGTCTCCTCAGTAAACAAAGAGAGATAAGCTGTTTTCACTGAGAAATCACCATTGGAGGTATGCTGCCAAATACAAGAGTCCACCTCACTATGATTAAAACCAGCATGAATACAATGAATTTTATGCACCACATCCAAAGGGAGACAACCCAGAAGCCAATTGGTGTTCCA